TACCAGAACAAGATATTGGAAGTGCCATTTTATATTTCCAGCTGGAACAAGGGGCAGCAGGTAGGGAAGGGGGGGATGCAACCACTGCCAAAACACTGGAGCATGTTACCATAGGGCAGCCCTGCCACCCCGCTTTCCCCTGGCACTCACTGATGAGGAGGAACAGGGTTTTAGGAGCATTTAGGTACAAAGTCATCCCTGCCCTCAAAACTAGAAATAAAGCAAGCCATGTGATGTTTCAGAAAACAGCTAACTGAAATTAAATCAGAGCTGAACTGGGAAAACAACAGGCTATCAGAAGTTGTCTTTAAAAGATGGTTTTATAAAGCAAGAAGAATAACAGAAGATGTGGTGAGGTTGGGTTTGCATGGTTGTGGAAGGACAATCGACTTGGCAGAATGTGAGATGCTGAAACAAGAAAATCCTATGAATGAATGTGCTGGAGAGCAGGTGGAAAAACAATAGTTAGATGGATATATAGCTTGTTTGCTTATCATGATACAGGAAATATTCTTAAACAACTTGACGAAGAACTGAAAGGAGGGATTCCTAAAGACAGAGGAATTTGCCTTGGTAGAGCTGCCAGTGTGCCAATTCCTAGCATCCCAACTCTTTGGATCTGGAAGTAAAACTGAAATTTGATCCTGACCTGGCAATAACATCAGCTACTGTTGAGGGAGTGAAGACACCAATCAAATAAATTGACAGATTTTCCATTATAATAAAACCAAACAAGTTAAGGATTTGAATATATTCAAAAGAACTTCTCAAAGCCAGAAAATGTGAGCACTACTTCCTGGGTGATGAGGAGGTCACGTCTACACTTCAGATCGCAAAGGCATGTTTTTGGTGCAAGTAAATATACTTTGGTCAAAACACAGCATGTAAAATGTCCTAAATGCATTTCCTCAGGTAGATGTTTAACTGAATTCCTTTTAGACTACTACTAGGTACTTGAAAAGCATGAAAGCATCAAGTTTGCTATACGACTCTGACACTTGGAAATACTGTTACAGATGCTTCTAAGGTTCCAGAAATTATTATAAAATTACAAAATTACTGGAAGACGTACCCAGTATGGAGCTTTTACTGGTGCACAGATTTTCTATAATTTGCATGTAGAGAAAATACAAGAAGCTGCAAGCAGATGTGCTTGGAGTCATGTATAATTTGAGTATAACCCACTTCTGTAAAAGAATTAATAAGATGCACAAAATGAACTGGTCTTACTGAAACTTAAGAGTACAATTCCAAGTGGAGAAACTCTTGAAAAGAGAAACTCCCCCACCTTGCAAGATAAAATCATACTGACAATACTGAAATGAAACTGCAACAGACAGTGCAGCTCTGGGTACAGGAGGCTATGCAATAGTATCATCATGCAAAATGAGGTCAAAAATACTAATTTGCAGTATCCATCTGGCTCTGTACATGATGAGAGACTGAAAAAAAATCCTACTGTGGTCAGGCAAATGCTGTCGCTCAAGATAAGGAAACTGACTACAAATTCTACAATAAATACAAAAAATTATGCAAAAGAACTTCAGAAGCCATTAGAGACCTGTGATTGCTGTTGATACAGATAGATTTGGACTAAAAAGAAAAGATGAATTATTAATGGTTTTTAACTTGTTACAAAATATACTGAATAACAGTGTAAAACACACTCTAAATCACAGTTTACATGTCCTGGATTCCAGATGAGCTAATACCAGATAATGGCCTGCATTTCAGAAAGGACTTATTTCAGCAATTTGCTTGAGAAATTAGATCAAGCACACTAAAGCAAGTCCTTATTAGGTACTGCCACACAGGCTAGCTAGAAGACTGCTCAGTAAATATAAGAAGTAGAGGTCCAAGCACACTATGTCTGGTCGTCTTAGATTATCACAGCACACTCCTCAGTGCTCCATTGAGATTTCCCATTCAAAGAAATAAGGGATAAAACCCATAGATATGGTAAGCCAGGAATGTTTAATTGTAACAGAAGAGCTATTTGCCTAGAAATTAAGACAGAGCAAATATTCCAAACATAGCCAAGACAAGCAGCATTGCAAATGGAAGGGGGAGTTAGATTCCAGGATGATTATGTAGCTACCAATTTAACATGGTCTCCTCTCATCTGCAGCGAGGTCAGATGTCATAAGCCTCCCAAAGCATTTTTCCCAATACTGCACTAGAGAAAAAGCTAAAGAAAACTAAGAGGCACTCTGGCTCCATGCATTTTGAGGACCATTAGGATGATATCTTCACAGAATTTATGCCATAATGGAAGTAACAACTTTGTATTCAAACACCATCCGGCAATAAAAAGGTTCAAATTAAAAGTTTCACTGGCTGTAGAAGGAATGACTATGTCACATATGACGCAGTCTGAAAACATTGATAGCCACTGACTTTTAGATCAGATGGCTCTAATTGTGCATTTTATTAACTGACTGCTTCAGTCTGTAGATGTTACTTTACGCACATTTGTTGCTAAGTGAAATCAGGAAAGGTGTAGCAGTTGTCACTGACTTGTGCAAAACCCTCCATCTATGTGTCTATGCTGGAAGAGAAAATAAGTTTGCTCTCCTCCCAACACATCTTTATTAAAACTATCACACATCTTGACAGAATTTCGTAGATAAAATAATCATACCTCACATTTCAGTTAGTTTCAGATTCCAACTGCTGAATCTTGTTATTTTGTCTATGCAGTCAGAGAGCATGCTACTATCAGATGGCTTCTCCTTGCATAGGTACTTCTGCACTGTGTTCAAGTCAATTATAAACCTTCTGTTAAACAGTTTCAAACAATTATCTTTTTGTGGCATGATGTGTTTTTGTTTTTCAGACCTTGAGTCATTCTTGCAGCTCTTCTGCAAACCTCTCCCAATCTTTCCACGTCCTTCTTTAGTATGGATATCAGATTAGGATGTCCAGAAACATCTTTGCTTTGCCCAGAGGTAACCCCATCTCAGGCTCTTATTGCATATTTCCATCAAAACCGGCACTTTTATCAGCCACCTTGCACTGAGAGCTCCTGTGCAGCTGGATGATCCCAACAACCTGATCCCAGAGACCTTTCCAGAGCTGTTGCATTCCGAGAGGCAGCCTCTCATTCTGCAAGGATGACTGACACTTGGATGCGTCTCCACTGAAACACATTCTGTTTGAGCATACCCAAAAGACGGCTTTGTAAGGTACAAGTGACCCATCTCATGCGTGGTTACACTGAGTCTTGTTTCACCTGAAAACTGTTATCAGCTGTCCTTCAAATCACTGACAAATAATGTTAAGCCAATAAGGAATCTCTGCAGCTGCACCAGAAACTCTCCCATATATAGTGATAATTTCCAACTAGCAAACAAGACTTAGCTAATTTCTAATAAATCTGAGTTTTCTGTATTTATTTAGTATAGTTCTAGTGTTTTAATCTAAATGTCGTGTTGTAGTAAGTTAAATACCACACAGATATCTGCGCATATTAGAGAAAAATAGCCCCCATGCAAGCTGAGCTTTTAATTACATAAGAAATACCAAGCTAATTTGTCAGACCCATTGCCCATAAAGAATTGACACCCACAACAAACCATTTACAGAAATCCACACATAGACCAGCGTGTACTTGCACAAGGTGCTAGCAGGCTTCAAATGTGTTTGTGGGCACCGAGAGAGCTGATGTCTATGTCACCAGCACCAACAGCACTGGAACATAAGTACTTGTTACTCGAGCACTTAAATCCTCTTCTGGGACTACAAGAGCTTTCCTTTCACACTCTTAGCTGTGTCACACCACAGTACACACCAACAAGTGACCAAATGCATTGAAGCCATGATCTGCCTAGGGGACAAAAACCCAGCCAAACAAAAACCACCAGCAGAGAAGAGAGAACAGAAGTAACGCTGTTCACTTTGAGACATTCACCCAGCGCTGTGTTTGGGATTTGGCTCTCACACCCTTCATTTAAAGTAACCGTGTGCCATGAAACCTGCTGATGACAGAAAGCTGGATAGCATCTGTAGTAAGAAAGGCTGGGACGTTACATGGGAGAAATGCTGGATGACCTTGAGGGCTGGTGTAGTAGAAATGGGAAGAAGCTCAAAAGCACAGAGTGCCAGGGCATGTACCTGGGGAGTAATAAAAAGAACCTCTGCTGTAAATTGAGAGATTATCAGTAGGAAAATAAAAGGAGGAGAAAGTCCTGGATGTATTAGCCAGCTGAAGGATCACTATGGGTGTCCAGTGTGATGCAGCATGAAAAAGGCAAATACAACCACAAAATACTTCAGGCAAGGGGTTTCCAGCAGAGAAAGAGAACTGTCACATCACTTATACAACGCATTGATCCGATCCTCTTTGGGAATGGTCCTTCTCATCCGTATTTAAGAGAGGCAAGTACAAACAAGAACAGGTGGCAGAAAGGGCTGCTGGATTGATAACTGGTCTTACAGAGAACAGTCTACAAGAAATAGCATATGTAGGGTGGGAAAAAGAAAGCAGAAGAGACCACTGTTATTCCGAGGTACATCAGAGAAGAACAGAGATGCATAAATTAAAGGTTACATTTGACTCAAGAACAACTGACGAGGAATAAATATAGGTTAAAACTTTTGAGCACAGTTTCTAGTTATCAAAGTAAAGTGTCCCACTATGAAATAGGATAGTGGTGGGAATAACATCTGCATAATCTTCAGGTTTTTATTACTAAGTTTATTAATTTATTAAGTTTAAGGGTGACAGTGTTACTTGCAACAACAGAGCACTGGACTAAACTCAGAAGGCCACTTCCAGTCCTGTGACTTATGGACACTGTTTTGTGATAGAAGTAACACATAACTATGGTTGGGTTATCCTTGACGTACCCCAGAAGGACCTCTGAACGAAACCAAGTTCAGAGCAACTAAAACAACTCTGAAAACATGTTTTCAGTGACTTAGAAAAGGAGGGACACATGGGAAGAGAGAACACGAAAACAACAAGGAAAACACATTTCTTCAAACACCAACATCCTTACCTCCCATGAGGAAGAGAAGCCCTGCCACATACTGCATAAGGCCTCGATCCCAACAGCACCCCAGCACCCCGATAATCCATCCAAAGAGGATGATGGCCACAGCCATGCCCATGAAGCCAGCTGTCATCCTGCGCAGATCTGCAGTGGGGAAGACAGAAAAACAACACGTGTGTGAACAGTGATAAATTAGCATCATCAGAGGTTCATAACAGTCTTTACTGAAAATGCTACCGCTCTGCAAAGTCTTCAGCGTGTGTTGGCATAGGATGATTTGAGTAAAGATGGTTCAGAGGAAGGACAATCCATAAATTACTAGCTTGGGCTGGGGAGAGAGAGCAGGTGAGCGTTTCACCACACAATGAAGCTCAGTGCAGATGCATCCAGCTGACTTGTGACCATTTGGTCAGGAATTAGAAGCTGTAAAATGGCTTCAGCACAACACTGCGCCTAATAGCTCTAGTCTCTAGGTACTAGCACAATGTCTGTTTAAATCCTGCCTTCTCACCTCCATCCGTTACTCCTCTGCATCCAATGGATCTACCTGCTAAAACTAATATGCAAAGTGGTCTTTATGCTTTGCTCCAGCGCAGACATGATAGGGGATTCACCTCGGTTCTGACCCACTGTGTGACCTGGGGCATCACTGAGCCCCTTTGGGCCACGGCTTCCCATGTGTAAGTTGGGCCACAGTGCTTTGCTGTCCAGCAGTGGTGCGTGTGAAAGCTGGTACCTCCAGGATGGTAAGGCATGCAGATATTCTGGTGTCAGAGATAATAAATGCACTGCAGATACGTGGCTGGGGCATAGGACATTTTATTGCTCTCTCTGGTATCTGGATGGTGGCCTTGCCAGATGATTTTTGGTGAGGACATTTTTGAGTGCTCCAGGGAGCACTGAGAGTAGGAGGAGGGCAGAAAGCATTTTGTTCTGCAAGTGTGGACTGAGTACTACAGCTGATATGGGTACAGGGGGTTGACCTGTATTTATTTCATAAATAAAGGCAAAAGATCCCCAAGACCTAATGTAAGGAACCCTTAAATTAAGACCTGGCTATATCACGTATTTGCCTTCTGCAAAAAGGATGGGACTGCTGGGATCCCTCCCCCTACATGTGCTGGGAAAAAAAAAAAAATCTTCACAGCTGTTTTTGATGTGAAATCTGGGCAAGAAGACTACCTGGCAATGGGAATAGCAAGGACTATGAGAGCTAAAAAGCATCTTTACACCCTCAGATATTGGAACAGATCTTCACTAACATTTGATTGTTCCCTGTCCCCCCCTCATGCAGGCATGGAAAGTTTAAGCACTGATACCTCAAGACAATACATGCAGGGAAAATTCCAGGCAAGTCAGGTCTCCAAACATTTGTTTCCTTTTTGAACTTTTTTTTTTTTTTTTGGCAAAGCAATGATTTATCTTTCTTTCAAGAAACAGAATGCTTATGACAAAGGGAAGAAGATTTGAAACCTGTGAATCATCTACCAGTCTCCATTGCAGCTTTTCTCCTTGGCTGGCCTTTAGCTGTTTCTCAATTTCTGTTATTTTCTATCTTTTTCCCACAGTGGATCAAAAGGCCCACCAATACTAGCTGTGCAGATTCAGTGAAATTTGTGAGCAGTAATAAACTAGTATCATCAGAGATTTATAAAACTCTTTATCCAGAATGCTAAGTGTTCACGGGGTCTATAGGTGTGTTGAGACAGATTGATTTGATTCCATGTAAGGCAGTTTACTCAGAGCTGTGTTCATTATAGCAATTCTTACGCAAGATGGAGTTGCATTCTGCAACTCTTCCCTTTAAACTATAACCAGTTCCTGTAGATTGTCACTGGTTTTTGCAAGAAGTCCCTCTGACAACATAAACATTCCCAGGCCTTCAGCCCACCAGTGATCAGGTCCTTTTCAACAAGAGACACACCTTAAAATTCGTATTTTTATCTTAGGTTTTGTGGCTGTTCCACCAAAGAAACAAACAAAAACTCCCCACAAAGCATTTGAATATGTTCAGGGAGGTCTGGTGCAGAAAAGAAAAAGCACTTCCTGCAGAAACGTGCACTTCCCACAGGCAACGCCAGTCTCTGTTCCTTGGGAATTTCTCAGAGTGCTTTCCAAAACAAGCAGTAAATGTTAGTAAGCACCTTTGATGGCAGCGCACCTTCCTTCTTTTCAATCCGTGAAGGCCTAGGCTCAATTTGAAAGACAGATAAAAACATAAAATGTTTACTGTTTCCTACATCATCTTCAATAACAGCACAACACGTCCCTCAGAAGCGCTGCACAGCTGTCTGAGTCAGCTCTACAAAACCCGTCCATTTTAACTCGTGACTGGTGACTCTGGGTAACAGCACTTGCTCGTCCTAATGGAACATTCCCTCACAACCAGCTTTTAATGAGCTGAATTTAAATAGCTTTATCCAGCTGCAGGATGTCAGTAACTCCTCAGACCTACCCCAGTGACTAGCTGATGGAGCCAGTTTTCTCAGGTCCCAGAGGGGATCACAAGCATCCCCACATCCTATGTACCAAACTAAGGAATGGTTTTTACCCCACTAAAATCAGTGTGAGTTTTGCCATTGAACAAAAGAGTTAAAGTATCAGGACCAAGATTTCTAGGCCCGATTTTGAGGTTTGTTTCACTTGGCCTCTCTTCCTGATGGAACCTGAAATTCCCTTTCCAACAACACAGCGAAATCCATCAGCATCTTAACTCTGGGCTTACATTATCTCTTGAAAAAAGCAGAAAGCTAACCTCTGACAGACACACCACCACATATAAAAAAAATCAAAGTTGTAATTCTTTATGAAACCTTAGTTCTTGAAAATTCAGCGGGCTTAGTTTAAGATTGCCACTGCTTAGGCCAGTTGCAAATCTGCTCCTCACAAGCCCATCTGTTAGAGCTTATCTGAAATAAACAGAATATAAACTTTCTTTTCTATTCAAAACCATCTCAGCTTTTGTCCTGCCATAACCTTCTTCAAGGGCAGCCCTTGCAAATGGCAGTGCTGCGAAAGGGGGTTGCAAAGCTGGTTTCACAAACAGCCCATGCTTGTACAACAGCACCTTCCCAGAGCTCCTCACCTGTCAGGGCCCACATGAAGCTGGGGTCAGTGCTGGGAATAAGTCTATCCAAACTGATTATTTTGTGGGAAAGTACTTAATGTAACCAAGTCATTAGCCTGAGGCTATTTGGTGAGGAGAAGGCCAGGGAACAAGAGCCTACATTCTCTGGACACAAACCCCTATTAGTGGTACTTTTTATGATTACTGTTCTGTTGGCGTGGTGCTCAACATGGAAAATACAGCAGAAAAGCGAAGATTTGCATTGTGTACTTGAGGCAATATATAAATTCTTTCTGCTAATTTAGGAGCAAAGGATGCCATATAAATAAATGATAGTTCATCAGTACAAATTGATGGGGTTTTGTCTGAGTTTAGCACTGATAAGACCTTTCCTGAATACATGCTGCAAAGGTAAAAAGGGACACGCTTTGTCATGTAACATCACTTTATGACATTTGAGCACATCTTTGGGTTGGCTTTTTATTTTTCTGAAATTGATTTTATTTATTTTAGACTACGAAATTAATGGTTATTTACAGTCTTTCTTTCTTCAAAAACCTCTCAGAGTAACTACAGCATCTCAAGATCATGGCATGACAATCCCAATCAACTGAAGGAGTGACTATGCCAGCAAAATGCATCGTTGAATCTTACCCAGCCAAATAGGAGCTGCACCAGCAAACACACCTTATCTTAGCTCACCTGTGATAGTTCCACTGGGCTAGCCCTTGG